AACTCCTCTGTAAGAACTGAACTCCATTTACTCTGTCCCTGCATCTGTTTCTCATGTAAGAGTGACTGTGGGCAGTTCAGTTACAAAGATTACTTTGTGTAGAAGTTGGATGACTAGTTGCTTGGAATTTTAGTTGTCTGTAAATCCACTCAAAATAATCTAAATCAATAATAGTGATAAAAAACAACAGAGGAAGTTACCACAAAGTAAATTATACCTTAGCTATTAACGCAGTGTGAGTATCTCACCATTTATGATGCATCGCTTAAAATTTATTAGTAATAATGAATAAAAAAGGCTAGTATGTACTGGCTGCTAAAAGCCCCATGTGCCACTGTGCAAATGCAGGGGAAATACAATCCCTACTTGAAAGTGTTTACAATCTAAAGTAATGGACAAAGCACAGGTTCTATAAAACATAACAGCTTTGTGAATATTTCTATTTACATGCGGTTTTAATCTGTGTGTATTAGGATGTGAATTAGAAGGGGAAAAGGGAGCAAGTAGAGGAGAGATAGAAAAGTTTATTCACAGCTTTTCCCTCCTTAGTCACATGATCTGAATTTTGTAGACTTTGTGAGGACTGGTGCAGCATAAGAGGTAAAACAGATGTTTAGATTTCATCAAGGCATTTTGTCCTTGCAAGGGATGTTCAGTTTTACTTCTTGCTCAGTGACCGCTTCACAATAAACCAGGAAGTGATTTTGAGTTACCGGTGCAGGAGCTGACTGCAAAATTGCCAAGATCACAAGTGTTCCACTCAACCGCACTCTGAACACTGTACGTAATGTTTCTGAAAATGTTCCCTTCTTGTTGTTGTTCAAATATTAGCACTGCTGTCCATCATTGTGCTAAAAACCTTCTTATCCGTGGGAAGGCTCCTGCCAAAAGAATGAACGTGTCTGCTGATAAGAAAGGTTGCAGCTGTCGACAAGAGCATTGGAGGAGGCAGGGTATCAAGAGCTCAGCACACAGAAGCAGATGCACACAGCATTGCAAATGTATATAGGTTTGTAAATGGTCACAAGTTTCAGTAGGATAATTAAATAGAAGATCCCAGATTTATAAACTAAACATTCCATAGCAGCCAAACAAGGCTTAAGCAACTCAGAAAAACATTAAATAGGAAAGTTGTATAAAATTTAATTGCCCAAGTGTCCTGGAAGGCAGAGTGGTTTTCCTATTTAATCACTTTCTGGTTTAAGCAGTCCTTATAACAAATCCAGCTTAATTAGGTCTTCAGCACACTTAACAGTTTTTGTATCTGAGGTTTTCCCTTCCAAAGACAAAGAGGTCCAGTACATCATGCATCTTCAGCATGCACACAGCTAGAACAAAAATCCCTGAATGTTCAGTTACACATACACCAAAGCTGACAGCACATCCCCATCCAGCCAGGAAGGTGAGATCAAGTAAGCACAACTGCAAGAGCAGAGAGCACACACACAAGTGAGCTGGTCCAGGTGTGGTGCAAAGCAGCACAGGAATGCAACTGGAGAGTATCAGAATAGTTCACAACTAGCAGACACGTTGCTACAAAATACTCCAAATTGAATTTACTTATGAATGGAATAACAATCTATCACTGTAATTTGCCAGTTACCTTCTTAAAACCACCAGGAACACCAAGAAATCAGTTATCTCCTGTCTGAAGACGCATTTAACTACACCCTATGTCATCCCATTTTCAAGAAGCTCCTGATGTTGACAATTCCTTAGACAATCTTAGTGCTTCCCACAATTAACTGTTAGCACATCTCAGTAAGAGCAACTAAGTTTCTGTTCAATACGGTCTTACCTTTTACGTTAAGAAATTACGTGAAGGCATCCTCGTAACATTAATGAACTTTTGCGATTAAATTACTGTGCTGAGCGAGTATTAGGAATTGAAGAAGTTACCATTTGTTTCTATCTGTTCTTTAATCTGAGAAATTTATCTTGTTAAGCAGGTAGTCTTTCTTCCTTCAGAGCTTCCAACTATTACATCCATTAGCCCTTGTTTAGAAGGTGCTTGCGTACTGTATTTACATGCAAGTTGTTCAATTTGGGGAGCAAGACCTGGTTGCAAACAGCTTTTCCCTCAAAAAAGTACCATTGCAGTATCTTTCGATACCATTTTCACCATGTTCACTAGATACACAAATTTGTAAAAAATCCCCATGACACAAAAAGCAGTTTACAAAGCAAGCTGCTGTTTTTAGGAAAAAAGCTCAAAAAGAAAGAAAGTTAGCCTCAGTAGTTTTAAGCTATTTTAAGAAACTAGCTATAAAAGACACCTATTGCTTTCTGTCAGCCCTGAGCTGTTCAGTTTCAGCCCGTGCTACAAGTACAAAAACTGAACACTGGCTGCAAATAAAACAATTTTTCATTTAACTTTGTAAACTACATCTCAGTCTCCCTAGTTTTTGGTTCTCCCTTGAACAGATTATACAATTGCTGATCACGACTAACACTGTACTTTTCAAGGCTGATATACCAGCTCATGTAAACTTGCACAGAAATTTATAGTCAAAAGTGATTTAGTTTTACTTCAGGCTATTTATCAGCTTACTCATGTATTGCAAAATGCATCTTTTTTGATTTAATAAGGGATAATATAGTGTCAGAAATTAATGTTCCAGCTGTTTTCTCTAAACTGTTATTTCATTCCGTTTTCTGCATCCTATCTATACCACTGGTGTATATTCCAGCCCAAGGGCCATCTGATAACTGATGTCTGCCTCCCTCCCTGGGAAGTGAAAACGAAATAGTGGTGTACTTCGGTTGTGGCATTTCTCAGAGCTCGCTTGTAACCATCCCTTCTACCCCTTACGTTTCACGGGCCTCCTTCAATTTTCCTTTACTTGGTAGCACGCAGAGGATCAGGATGTACCTGCAAAGTGGCAGCACGTGACACTTCCTTGAGTTGAAGGTTCCAAGTTGGCACCATTCACAGAGAACGTTTCCTGTAACAATAGGCTGTTGTTGTTCTTTCCAGCTCAGTTTACGCACAGCTAGAGCTTCACCAACATACAAATAAATGGTACTCTTGAATAACCTGAAATTACTTGTATATTGTGAAGAGGGGGGTAATTGTTTGCATCTTCTAGAAATGAATAAACTGATGTGAAAGATATTAAGAGACGTATGAATAAACCTTTTCACAGCTTCGTACTTGTTTAGACATATTTAACCACAAATAACTGGTAATTAGACCATTACATGAATTTGTCATCATGAATGACCATTAAATGACTTTGTATCAAATGATACACAATTATAGCTATCATGCTGATTCTTTGATTCAAAATTGCTATTTTTTAAAAGATAAAATATATGCCAGTATTTTGAAACTGAACAGCAGATATCTATCTTAAAGACATCTTTAACAGTAAAAAAATTCTGAGCTGTGGAAGACCAGCAGTAGCAAATCGTCCTTTAACAGTTTAACCTTTCCCCCACATAACCTTTTATCATTTCCTTGATGCTTTTCTTCTGAAACATACCTTTTTTCAGATGGACTCAAACTACCCAACAAGTTTATTTGAAAGTTGAACGTCTGCCAAAAATTAGGTATTTGCAATGTTACTTCTGATATGAGGTAATATACGGTTTAGAAGGAGAAACTGTGGCTGAAGTTTCAGGAAAAATTTCAGTTTTCTCACGATTATATAACATTTGACCAGACAATTTCTGATTTGTTTGGCAATTTAAACATAACCACTATGTTATGCTGACAGCCATACAAAATGTAAGAGAAACTTGCACTTTAACTCATGGTAACAATATCAAAATTTTGAACAGCTACAAATGCAGCATTTGCATTTTCAGTGCCATAGCAAGTTGAATTCAGTACCACCTAAACCCAAACCAACAGCTGATTAAAAAAAGAAAACATAAGTCAAATGATAAAGCTACATAGTTTAGTACATTAAAACAAAAACAAGGACAATGGTATTTGGATAAGGTTCCAAAAATATACAGATGGGCGAAAAAAAAAAATCACTGTACACAACTCTGAGGTTGTTAAAGTGACCAGAGAGAATGAACAGTGCAAGACATGCTTTTCCAGTTACAAGCTCAAAACAGAAGTGCAAAAGAAATTAAAGCTTTTTCTGAAGTGATTTACCTTTTAGGATAAGGAAAACTTAGAATATTGTCATCAGTGTTACAGAGAAATTTCCACCCCACCCCCAAGACATACACACAAAATTGTTTAAGTTTTTCCGTAATACAGCATTTCATTCAAATGATGTCCCCCTGAGCTTGGTTATTGTAGGGACAATTTGTCTGATACTTATTAGATGTTGGCCCATGACTCAAGTGACGCATAGGTAGCTTCTCAATTCTCCAGCTTTGGCTAACAACACCTGCAATTTACAGGCAGTGAAAGCGGCAGGCAGCCCGGGTTCAAACTCTCCCACAGGCAGCTTCATTAAGACCACCTCACTGTAAGAAAGCAGTTGTGCTGAAAGCAGATACTAAGTTATGGCTGAGGAACAAAGAAATTGCTTTATAAGTCTCTGCTCTCTCCCAGAGTTGAGAACAATTTCAAGCAAGTGCTTTTAGCAGGCTGACTAAGCTGTACATGCATCTGTCCATGCAAATGTAGAATATGGTTCCCAAGACCTAGAACCAGGGTGTGTGCATGTGAAGACTGGATACAAGGCCCTTCCTTGTAAGCTTACAAAAATATATAGCCAATACTGTAGTTAAGAAGTCAGTTTTACTCATTACAGAGATCCCCAAAAAGTATTAACTACTTTTCAGACATTCCAGACAAGGTCACTTGTAACAGAAAAGGTCAAGTTCTCTAAAACAAGATTTTAAAAGTGGGTCTTTCCTTCAAGTGAACAGGACATCTGTTTTTACACTTAACTTTTTAGTCAGTTAAGACTGAATTTATTTAAGATTTTATGTGAACATATGCATAAACACAAATAAGTTTACTTTAAACACATATGCACAGAAAAAAAAAAAAGATTAACCCTTCAAAACATAACAGAGCAGGTCTGGTTAGTATGTAACTATTGCAAATCTTAAAGATTCTGTGCATTAGGCCCACCCATACAGAAAGCAGGGGAAAAGTCTCAATGAAAGAAAATTACTGTTCAAGTCTAAGTGGTGTTTTGAAGAGCCAGCAGCCTAAGTGACACCACAAAGCTAGTCACAGTATCCAAACAAGCAGACCTGCTTGGGCTACTAAAGCACTGTATCCTCCCGAAGGTGTCATTTACTCCCAAGTTATTTTCTGTTTCGAAGGCGTTTAGATTTCCTAGGACAGTCTGTGGATTCAACCGCCTTCCTCCGTTTTCTAGGAGACTGTTCATTTGAGCCAGAACCTGAAGAATTTCCTACTGTACTCTCCATCACCTCTCGCAGCTTGCGTTCGAGCTCAGCCAATCGGGCATTCTGTTCACCTATGATTTGGGTTTGCTCAAGCAGTTTCTGATCTTGATCTTGGAGTTGTTTCTGTTGCTCTTGCACTTTGATGCGAAGCTCCGAGATTTCCCGCTTTAGCGCTGTCAAGCCCGTGCCATTTGCTTTTACTTGCTGCTGGAGTTTGGTGACTTCCTGTCTTGTAGGGTTCTGCTTGGAGAACAGCTGCATTGTCGTCAGTGCTGCAGAAGGCCCTGGAACTTCAGAGAAAACTGTGATTAATCCTCTACAACTTTTAAGACAAAGGTAAAAATTTTGTCCCAGTTTTCATATTTTGCTTATCCCTACTCCCCAAACATGAATCTCAATACTAATTGCAAGTTATGTAAACAGATTTACAGTCATTTAAATGTCTAACAGGAGCATATGATATCTCAGAACACAACTAGTTTAATTTAAAATACTTAGATTTTCAGTAATCTGGAAAATAGCTCATCATTCATTTTCTGTATATAAGCCCCCCTCCTTTTGCTGTATCAGAAATAGAGATATTACGTTGTCATCTAGTCTTAGTGTCACAGATGTTAAGTCAAAAACCCCCATCTATAAATTACTTATTACAGAATAGTTATATTAAATAAATGTATTTCAACAGAGCAGTAAAATTCTGCTGTCTTAATTGTAGACAACTAAAGTTCTAAAATTTTGTCGTTTGGGGCTTAACAAGGTATTTCAGTTTAACTTACTTTTGAGAAGAAAGGAATTTACTTTCCATGCTTCTTTAGAATCACTCTTCCTAAGTACTAAAGCCATACTGGAATCTGAGCTTGGGAATGTTGATTTTAATAAAGTTCCTGCAAATCAAGGAGACTAACAGCTACTGTATAATTTCTTTCACTTTTTCTATCATAAATGATATCTATCACTTTTCTTATCATTTTACTCTTCTAGCAATGCTGTGCAAGTAAGATGCAACTTTTAAGCTCTACACAGACAGAACAGTCTGGAATAGCCTAGAACACTCATTATCCTCCTCTTTTTTTATTCCTTTAAGATGCCAGCACAGCTACAGCAGCATGACACTAAAGGTTGCTATTAGCCAGGTTACGCTCCTCTCTCAACACAAGATAGGCATTTTTCTGCCACATAAAGCCTTGGCCTTCAAAAGTCAATTGACATCAACTATGGTTTTGGGCAATACTTCCTCAACTGAGAGACTCAATGGAATTGAGGTATAATTAACAGAATATAATTAAGAGGTAGTATACACACTTATGGCTAAAAGGATGGACAGGATATACCAGAAACAACAAGCAGCTCCTACAGTCAGGCCTATCATTTTTGCTTAAGATAAAAATAATTCTTTAAAAAAATTATTTTTATTAAATTATCCTTTCAGAGAGTTAGTTTCACAGTTCCTAAGAAGCATGAAGATGTTCAGCACAGGGAAAACATTACAGTTTTACTAACCTTTTGCTTTTGGCCATTATGTGAGACAATTATCTTAGACTTTGGTTCACAAAAGTTCTGCAAAGTCTGACAGAGTATCCAAAGGACCGGTTTCATTGTTTATTTATAGACTGTTACTTTAATTATCTTTTCACTATTACCTATAAGTACTTTGCTTGTTAGTGTATATATTAGTGCCCCAGGAAAGTACAAAAGCACATGTAAGTATGTTCTATCTCTCTATGCACAGCTTAGGCTAATTTGTTTGCTGATTGTGCTAAAAATAAAAGGCATCGAGTTGTCATCTCATGTGCCAAATTTCAACCAAGTGCAATGATAAAGTCTCATTCATTGGTGGCACAAAAGCATTTGTTTAATGAATACACACTATGCATAATTCTAACATACATTCAAGTGACTGTTCTTTTGGTAGTACAAAGGCTCCTTAAATTTCAAAGCAAATGAATTTCAGTTAGCATTCTTAAGAAACAAGTATCATCGATATTTATGTAATAAAGCTCACATTTAAGCGGAGGAGAGCTTTAAAAAAGATACAGTGCTGTGAATGCTTACAGAAAAACTAAATAAAACTTAACTATACGTTGGAGTTAATACCTGGGGCAGTTCCTATCAGACGTCCCGATACATCTGACCCAGGCATCTTTCTTTTCAGTATTGGAACAATCTTCTCATCAAAATATTCCATAGCCATGGAGGAAATGTCCCTTAGTTCTTGAAGAACTTCATGAGCTCTCTGAGGAGCTCTTGTAGAGTTTACATACCTTAGCACACGATAAATTTCATCTATTACCTAAAACATTTAAGAAGAATTAGGATTTTCTGATAAAGGCAAGATTATTTCAGATCATTTTAGAAGTGCTGGCATATTCAGGGGCTTTTACCATGAAACTATTGCATGCCACTGTGTGATTTAGTTCTAAATCAGCTTTTTGAAATGAAGTGCTGTTTGTGATATATCAGAGAAGCTATTCATTTGATCTATCACAATTCTCTTCAAACTCATGAAATGATGCTTATTGTGTGGAATTTTGTTTTACTACATCCATACGTGACTTCTAAGTTATATAATCTATGCTCAGCAAAGCATAATCTTTTTGGAGAACCTGAAGCAAGATACTCTAAGCCACAATGCAGAGCAGTCACTCCCCCAGCCAGTTATGAAACACATGAATGGAGTAGCAAGAATTATTATGTCAGTCTGAGGAGCTGTAAATATTTACTTGAGTCCACTTGCATACACTCAAAATATTGCAAATTCAGATTAAGTCTAAAATACATTAATTTATAAAACATCGGTCCACTACTGACAGAGAACATAAGCACCCTCTTAACAGGTTTGACAAACAAGCCCTTTGGTTAGGAGGGATACAGAGAGATGAAAGGTGTCTTGCTAATCCATGAATTATAGTCTGTGGCAGGTCAAGATAGCAGTACTGGTCTCAGTACCGAAACTACTGACACAGGTATTTTGCAAAGGATTAAGAACGGTTGAAGAGACTCCTGAAGAACACAGATCTTAAGGACTTAGAATCATAGGTAAGTGAATACAGTTGCATCTTGTGTTTTAATAAAGGAAGCTTAGCTAAAACATTGCAAGAGCCAGAGAAGACTAAAGTGTCTCATCATGCAACAAGCTTACAAAAGACTTCTCTAATTTTACCCATATCACATCCTGTTAGCAACAACATCCTCAAAGCATTCTCCTGCCATCCTCAATATAAAATCTCGCAGCAGCACTCTGCTATCACCAGGAACCCTCACACAGTATGCTGAACCTCAAAGCAGGAGCCACATATTCTAACACAAATTCACTTCCTGACAGTTCTGTGGCAGCTTCATTCAGATGAAATTTCCTGAGGGGAGCAGGGCAGGTGGTGGGGGGAAACCACAGACCTGTGGTTTCCTGTAAGTGAACACTAAACCTTGCATATGCTTGACCAAAACAGGACTTTCTGGTGAACTGGCAACTGTGCTGAGAGCAGCAGCGCTAGCAAGCTCATACACTAAGTAATTAAAAAAAAGAAACCTTTTTAGCTGTCATATGGGAATACAAACGAGGTCCTTATGACTCAGTGCCCACAAGGAAAATGGCTGGCAAGCTCACTTGCCCAACTCCTGCACACCCCAGGTCTAGACTGAGTATGGCCTTTCCATCTACTCTTCAAAAAAGTAAGGCAACATTTCTTTTAACATTCCATTTAGTACCTGAGTATCAAGGACTTAAGTTTATTTGACTTGATGTTACATTACAGTTTTTTAAATACATATTATATATTGAAATATAATAAAAAGTCAAATAAGCATAAATCTATTAAACTATAATGATTTAATTTAAAATTAAACATCGTCAACAAGAATGTACAGAAATCAAGTTACCTTTTCAAGATAAAAATACATTTCATGCTTACAGCCTATCCTATCATACTGAATGTAGAAATGCCTGCCATGCTTCACCTGAATCTAACAGCTAACTTTTCCATTCATCCCAGTGCTATTCAGTTATCTGCCCATGAAAAATTAATACCAACGTATCCAAGTGTTACATGGAAAGATCAACAAATAGAGCATTAGGCTAATGTTCACAGATCTTGTTTCAACTCTGAGCTGTACCAGTCTTCCTCAGATCATGATTTTGTCAGTTCCCCTATGCACTTCCGTTTTCACAGCTTATAAAACAGTGGTACCTCTGATGTACACCTCACTTGCATAATTTATATTTTATGTTGGGGTAGTATTAATATTTAATACACTTTATCTACATTTAAAACTAATTCCACCTACTGTATGAAAATACCCCATCCACTGTATTATTGAATACTGCTTCCACACACTAAATATCTTCATTCAATTAATCTGAACTACTCAAACCTTTAAGAAAGGTGCCTAAAATCTTCCTGATTGACTTGAGTGCTTAGTGTTATATGTAGTCTAAATTACTACATCTTCTGAGGACCTGGCCTCCAACTGTTTTGTACAATTAAAATTCAGAATTAAACCCTACATATGACTTGTTTCTTGTAAAAGGTTGTATAGAATGTACATGCTGCAAGTCAAATGTCAGAATGAAGAAAGAATCTAAGGGAAAATGGAAATCAAGTTTAAAATAATTAATATTTAGATATAGTCTAGTTCATTCATTTCAGACTGCCTGTTATAGCAGAGTAGTGGCTTGTGTGTTTGTTTGCAGGTATCTGAAACACAGTTTCAGTATATATATACACATTATATAATTTGTCCCAGCTGTCCCAGGTTAAGTTACACAATCATATTTTTTAAACACATATACATTCACATAATATAGTCTACGCTTTACCTTTCCAGGTATGAAGCAACAGAGATTGGAATCCACATACTTCATGAAAGTCATATTTAACAGAGAGAGTCTTGTTTCTACAGCAGCAAGGATATCTGCATGACGAGCTAATGAATGGTTTCTTCTTTCTGACTCCCGTCTAGAAGACAGACCATTAAGTGACACTGATTTAATAACAAGTCAACAAAATGAAACTGTAAAATCGTTTCAGTTAATTTCACCCTTAAAACCCTCTGAGGTTTGAAAATGTAACCACTAGTTTTGTCTTTATGGAAAAGAACCGATACAGACTGAGAACCAGCTAGTAATAGCATACTACACTTTCCCAGACAAAATTTGTTCTCTAAATAATTACTACATCTAACATGATCCATAAAGTCTGTATGTAATTTAGGACTATTTAAAAACAAGCTTTCAGTACTAACTAGCAGTAGACACTGAGTCAGTGTGAATATTTTTATCCCCCCATATTCCTACAGTTAGTACTTCAATGCAATTGACATAAATTTAATATATTATTAGTGCCTACTACACTACGAACACTACACAACAAAGTTCAGGTTGAGATAGAAGCTCTTTTGACAAAGGATCTCTACACTAAGGAGCATTTAGTTTCTTCACTCTGACTGGGAAATCTGATAGGATGCAGCAGCACTGGAAAGAGGAGAAAAGACATTGCTTTAGTGAGAAACTAGCTCCCAGTAATGCTCACATGTCAAACCCCGCTCCCTTTCCCATTTAGTATTTGGCACTGAAAAGCCTTGCTTTTTTTGTTTTTTTTTAAGCAGAGTTGTAAATAAATCACCAGTAAAGGCAGTCAGTGTTAAAAAGGAATGGCATTCATTCATTCCTAAGAGTCCTTCCCTGATTTGCCAGAAGAGCTGAGTAATACAGGACCCACTCTTCTTTTCTCTGTTTAAAATACCAGAGACATGTTCCAATATTCCAGTTTGTAGTATACGACAGCTTACATTCATCCACACCATTATTCCGTAATTAGATCTTAGGTTCAACGTGCTTTTGGAAAATGAAATAAAACCAAATGTGACTCAAATTTTCAACATATATAAGTGGAATTAGCCAGCAAGAAATTACTTTTCAATATTCTGCTGAAAATAATCTAGCACATTTAAGTTTAACTACAGTTTTAACTGGTACATACCTTGGAAGTTGAGCTTTAACTTGTTTTTGACACAAGTTGTGGTATCTTTCCACTTTCAGAAATCCCTGATTTAACATTCGCTGGCAAACCAAATCCATTCGCTTACAAACCTGTATTTAAGCAAAAAGAAAAAATTAAGGCTCAATTGAGGCCACAAGTCACTTTTACTATTATCTTATCCATACTTGATGGGTAGTAAAAGATTCTTTTATCAGCTTTTCCTCCATTTCAGGAAGCAGAAACTGCAGCTAAGCTTAAGGCGTCACTATCTCTAACAATGATGATGATACTCCAAAAAGGAGCAGCTATATTCCACACAGTTCACAAATTCATCTCCTGATACTGCCCAACAAGAGACAGCAGGCTGAATGCCACCCGTATATAAGCAGATACGATTTCCTCTGATTTTAATGGAAGTTGCAAGTGCCTGTGCCAGCCTTTTAACTTGGTCTCCAGAATGATTCTGGTGGATTAAGTTAATACTTTGTAGTCTCAAAAAGAAGCCTTTAAAAACAAGAAATCATGATGTTTTTCTTTCAGCATTTAAGGCTCATGTTTTTGAAGACTGCCACAATTAAATTTAAAAGCTTATGCAATACAGTGCACATGAAACAAGATTCCTTTTCATATTAAAAAAGTATTTTCTTCTCTGCTTAATAGATTCCTTTATTTGCTATATTGGATACAAGTAGCCTCAATTTTTTCCACAGATTTAGGGAGAAAGGATATGAATAGCTGCAGAAGATATAATAAACTGCTAAGTTTAAACCTTCACAAAGTAACCAGTTACAAGACAAAGCCAACTTGTACAAAAATTTAAAGCCACTGCCGTTCAGTTCTGAAGATGCAAGAGTTTAGTGAACCAACTGTCCTTCAAAATTGGGTTTGGTTTTTTTTTTTTTTGTACTAAAGCACAGAACTTCCACTGTGACCCCACTTCCCAATGGATTAGTTTTGCTTTTTTTTTTTTTTTAAATAAACACTCATTCCCTCCATACACTAGGCATTTCATAATCTATCTGTGCTGCTTTGCATTAGCTCTTGCTTGGTAACAGTCAAAGGAGAAGGATCAGACAGGCTACCTACATAGGTACAGTCTCAGCACAGTCTCCTCCACATTCACTGAGTCAGCTAAATCATCTCCAGCCCATAAAAAATAATGCTGGCCCTTCAACTACAGGAAGGAGGAAATTGTCACGTTTCTTCTCAGATACTAGCTGCCATTAGGGATGCCTATATCTGATAACCATTTTTATGTACAAGACTTTACAGCTTGCTTGTAGCTCTAATGCTACCAACCCCCTGAACTCGGAACTAGTATCTGCAGAAGGCTACGTTAGCTATGCAATTGTTCAGCACAAGAGAAAAACCATCCTAGATAAATTATTAGCTACAAATTCAGAGGAAGCACAGAAAGTGATTTTAACCACGTGTGCACTGACATCTGGTGGCAGAAAGGACCTTTCAGCGTGCTGAAGCCCTCCCACATCCAAGACCGTAAGTCGCAATGGGGAACATGAACCGCGCTAGATTTTTAAACACTGGATTTTTTGAAATCTTACTCATTTGCTTACGCTATGCAGCATGAAGAATTACTTGCTCCAATTTCTGGACATTACCCATATTTGTGCCAATAATCAGTCTAGAAACCAAATACCGAACAGATAACAGGTACCACCAGAAACCAAAAGTGTTTGCAACTTATTTTACTAATCATCCCTTAATTCTCAGCTGGTTCCTGATGCTACCATTTAAACCATATGGCACCTGTATTTATAGGAACAATGTACCTCTTTTAGACTGCATAGCCAGCAGTCATATGCAAAGTAGCATTATTACACTTCTAAGCATTCATATTAGTCCAAGACAGTTTGATACTAGCTATTCAATGGACCACAAGAAAATAAAAATTTAAATTTGCCATATTTGTATTTGAAATTTTTGTATTTTCTTATTCTAGCCATAAAGCTGAAAGACCCCAAGTTTCCCCAAATGTCAAGTCCAACCAGACACTGTGTTCAAATTTCAGTGTTAGAAAGTTATTCCAAGTCCATGTGAAAAGCAGAATGAGAAGGTGGTTGCTTCTTAGCATGCTGACTTACGTGCGATAACAACTTCTATGAAAGAACTAATTTTCCCATTTGCAAACAAACTAAACTGACACAACCTACTAGATGACTACTACCAGCTTCCCTTTCCTCAAGCACATCTTATGTCTTCCAAGCTTCACTAACAGATAACCAGTATCAAAACAGAGATAGAAATATCCTAAAGTATTTAGATTCAATATGTGTTCTTTTTCTAAGAGGCTACACAGACACCATGTTTCATAATGCCTTTCTAGGGTAAAGTGTAAGTAAGTGACAAAATGTTGATGACTTCAGCAAGAAGGTTTAAAATAGAAACGCCTGTAAACAGAGATTTACTGAAACCGTGGGAAGATTAAAGCCGTGCTGTCCAAAGGCTATCAGTCCTTATTTGTGCTGTGCAGAAAATAAGCACAAGTTTGCTGCAGAATCTAAGACGCTTCTGACATGCGTCAGAATCCAAGATAACCTTCTCCTCAGAATGTTCATGGAAGGAGGTGGTAGATTGTTTGCTTTTAACCTTGCCTGCTGTAGTAGTAGCCTGAACAGAAGTGCTCAGGCAGTTTCCAAGCTCAGATGTGAGAGTGAAAAGAAACTGGAACACAAGAATTTAATTATTATCCCACTCAGGTAAAAATTCCAGAGCTTCTATAAGTCATTAAAAAAAAAAAAAATCACAGTACAAGATGCCTTCAAAAGCTGGAAGATACGCTAGCTTCTGTATCAGCATGCATACCAGGCTGCAGTTCGTCCAGAACATTACAGCTTCAGACATAAGGATCTCTCGGGTTTTCTGTTTCTCTCTTATGATGACATATCAGAGGAAGCAGATGAAGTAAATACTCAAAAGGGCTGAAAGCAAAATGCTGCTGCTTTTCTTCTCATTCACTTTATCTGTGCAAAAGTTTCAGAACTCAAGATTTGCATAATTTTAGACAAGACTGCATTCTGAATACCTATTGTTTAGTCTCTATTGCTTTAGATCTACTTCACTGCTTAACCGGTAGGTGCTTAATTTATGCTTTTAAATGCAGCAACACCAGGAATAGCAGAAAGCATTATGCTCAGGAAAGCAAGTGCTTCTTTGCACAATGAGGGGCCCATGGTCTTCCCTTGCCTGATGGCAATCATTATAAGCAGGAAACGTTCTTTACCTCATCCTTTGGTGACAGAAAACCTTATGGGCCTTAAGTCTTAGATTATGCTCCTCATTATGTTCTCTATAAACAATACAGGTGCCTATCTCCATTTTAATCTGAAAGCTTTCTCATGTTCTATGCCCTCCCACCCAGCCAACTCCTTAGTCGGTCGTCTTGTACACACTCTAGATCCAACACTGGTTCAACTCAGAGATTTTTTTTTATTATTTTTTTGATCAGTGAGCCAAGGTGATACAGAAAGAGATTAGGACATCCATTTCCTTCAATGCTAGGATCCAAAGAATGCATCAAATTGATCAGTTTAGAGAATCCACATTTTGTGTCTATACATGTATGATCAACCTTCTTTTAGATTGATTGATGTCCTGGATCATATCCTCCTACCTTCCTCAAGATGCTTTATCCCATGGAATGCCACATTCTATGGGGATGATGAGGCTGCTTCTGGGTACATTTCTAATATGCATGAGACCCAAGCAATTTAATGCCTGTCATTCAATTAATGTGGTCCTGCAACGTATCTTTAGCAGAATACTACTCATTATAAGATACACCCATTCATCTTTGATAAGCAGCTCATGTCAGTTCTCATAGAGAAGAAAAAAATCATTGCTTGCACAAGACAGATCTTACAGGAGGAATATATATGTGTCTCCCAAGGCTACTTATAGCCTTTAAAAATCTGAAAGTGATGAATTTCATTATAAATTTATGCCTAGACATTGTTATTTTTAAAGGCCACCTTAATTCTCTGTCAACAGCATCTAGAGTTACGTAAAACATCCAGTCTCTTCCTCCCGGTGAACTGCCAGAACACTGCCTCTAGTTCTGACTGGCCATTCGAAAGACCTAGCTGACCAAGCTTATGTGGTTATGAGCTACACTTTTGACTAGGTCAAACCAAGAAGGGCTTTGATTCTTTACATTACTGCTGGTTCAAAAGACAAGTGTACTTTCTTCTCAGAAGAATGCTCGTAATGCCTTCTGATGTGCTTAAGGGAACAGTAAGGAATTTAATGGAGATTAAGTTTGTTGTCTGTTACTGACTCAAAAATTAAAACTAGGGAA